CAAATAGCCTACAGAATGAGAGAAAACATGCATCCAGTAAAGGACTGATAACTGGAATCTATAAAGAACTCAAGCAAATCAGCAAGAAAAAAATCAAATAACCCCATTAAAAAATGGGCAAAGACATGAAAAGAAACTTTTCAGAAGATAGACTAATGGTCAATAAACATGAAAAAATGCTCAACATCTCTAATCATCAGGGAAATGCAAATCAAAACCACAATAAGATATCACCTAATTTCAGTGAGAATGGCTTTATCAAAAAGTCCCAAAACCACAAATGTTGGCATGGACGCAGAGATAGGAATACTTATACACTGCTGGTGGGACTACAAACTAGTACAACCTCTACGGAAATTAGCATGGAGATACCTCAAAGAAAAAGGTAGTACTATCATTTCATCCAGTAATCCCACTACTGAGTATTTACCCAAAGGTAAAAAAAGGCATTCTATAAAAAGACACCTGCTATTAACAGATCAACACCTAAGTGGGCATATAGGAATAACATTTATCAGGTGTCGGGCAGGTGGAGGGGGGGAGGAGGGGATGGGTATATACAAACACAACGAGTAAGATGTGCAACGTTTGGGGGATGGACACGCTTAAAGCTCTGACTTGAGGGGGGAGAGGGAGCATGGGCAATATATGTAACCTTAACACTTGTACCCCCATAATAGGCTAAAATAAAAAATAATAAAAATAAATAAGAATTTAAAAAAAGACACCTGCACTCAAATGTTTATAGCGACACAATTTACAATTGCAAAGATGTGGAAACAACCCAAGTGCCAATCAGAACATGAGTGGATTAATAAAATGTAGTATATGTACACCATAGAGTCATAAAAAATGGTGGACTAATACCTCTTCTATTCATCTGAAACGGGAGACCATTCTTCTAAGTGAAGTATCACAAGAATGGAAAAACAAACACCACACATACTCACCACTAAATTGGAACCAATCAATACTTATGTGAACATGTGGAAGTAGCATTCATTGGAAAGTAAGCAGGTAGAAGGGGGAAGAGGAGATGGGTAAATTCACACCTACTGGGTATAGTGCACACTATCTGGGGGATGGGCACACTCATAACTTTGACTCAAACACTACAAAAGCAATTGATGTAACTAAAACATTTGTACTCCTGTAATATTCTAAAATTTAAAAAAAGACAAAAACGTTTCTCTAAAAAATAAAGTCTGTTAACTGTTTTTAAAAGTATGCATCTGGAAAAGTGGAGGTCAGAGAAAGACCTCTGTAAAGATCTCTATAAATATTTGTAACATAATGTACCTTTCTTGTGTTAGATATTGCAAAATCGAAATGAGATTTTTTTCATCTTGCTTCTAGCCTCATCTCGCACTGTGAACAAAGAGGAAAATTTAGATAGGATGACAATGAGAAATAACACTACTTTTACAATAAACCCTTCAAAGTAAATGTAACCTGTCAAAACCAAGCAGCAGGACTTAAAGGCTGGAAAGCAGTTTCAAGTCTCTCAGGATATATAAAGTTGTTTTCTATTGTTATTTTCTTCTTAAAGCTGCCTTCTCCATTGTAAACTTCAGGGACAATGATTTGAATTAGGATTACACTTTATTATTTGCACCTGTTACTTCCAAGCCACTTGGCCTTTTACTGTTCATTACCATGAAGAAACAAATACACACCCTCTTAGTATTTGAACCAGATTAAGGAGAGCGATTAGAAAAAGGTAATCAGCTGTGAGCCAGAAATCAGCTGTGCCAACACAGGCACTTACCTGCTACTGTAGCTTTAATTCGTTCAGAGTCCCATCCAGTCCCTGTACGAACGAACGCAGAGCTGGGTTCCCATAAACCATTCAGGGGTGACTGCACAGCCGAGGGGTTAGAATAGCCACTGAGAACAGCAGAGGCCATAAAACGACAGTCCCTGCATAAGAAGGTCCTTATTCAAGCTGGATTAATCTGTGCATTTATTCACAGTGTTAATGTGCTTATATGTAGGAATCTGGTATCTCAAATTCCCCCGCAATGTAGTCACAAAATAATCATGGTCTATAATACTTTCCTTATTTGAAAATAACTTATACATCTTTATCTAAGGAGAACACAGGTAAGAACTGGATAAAAGCAAATAAGACCCCTGTGGGACCCAAATTACGTTGTAAAATCTAGGCACAAACATTTATATTCATGACACATATGAACACTTTTAAGGCATTCATCCTTTCTGAAAATTAATGTTGTAATAAAATTAAAACATCCATATACTTACTTAAAAATCAAATATAACTATATATTTTTCCTTTTTAAGTTGCTTTTGATCGTGGAAAAATATATGATACGTAACATAAAATTTACCATTTTAATCATTTTTAAGTGCATACTCCCTGTGTCATTAACCACATTCATACTCTTGGGCAACCATCACCACCAGCTGTCCCCAGAACTATTTCATCCTCTCCAACTGAAACTTTGTTCCCTAATGGGTCACTAAATCTGAATTCGTTCTGCCCTAGCCCCTGGCAGCCACCTTTCTACTTCCTGTCTCTATGAATTTGCCTATTCTAGGTCCCTCCTGTAAGTAGAACCATACAGGATTTGTCCTTTTGTGATGGGCTCATTTCACTTAGCACAATGTCTTCAAGATTCCTCCATGTGGTAGCATGTGTCCAAATTTCCTTCTCTTTTAAGGCTGAAAATAGTAATATAATATAATATACCATCAAATGTTAAAGAAAATCAATATTCTTCTGCCCCATTCCACTACCCCACACTTCAGTCTCCCTCCTAGAGTCAACCGCCTTAATGATTAATATTTTAGCTGTTTCTTCTGATATATACATCCATGTTTCTAAATAGCATAGCACTGTTTCATGACACATGCATGTTAGGCATTATTCACTTCCTGTTAAGGCAGATGAGCATTAAGTTGTCCTATACCCTCTTCACCCTATCCTCTCCTTACAGTTAGATCAATATTCGTCGATTATATTATTAGGACCATGTAAATATTGTTCACTACTGAGCCAAAAAGTATTGTAGTTACTTTTCCATTTCTGATAACATTATTTTTCCTGGAATTAATAATTAACTAACTTTTATTAGATTACTTTCAACACAGCTATTGCTAGTTATCAAACACCCATACATCTCTTATCAGTTCTCACACCATCAAATATGTAACCATACATTAGATTATGTGTCCATTCATACATTGCTTCCCCCCTGGAGACTCCATCCTCCCACTCCATTCTGGAAGGCTGGCTCTTAGACCTGCTGGAGGTGCTCCTTCTGGGATTTCCCTTTGAAATTTCCCTTCACTGGATACCCTAGAAACTGAGTCTTTCCATTTTCTGGTTCCTCTCTTGTGTTAAAAGCACATTCTCTTGAGTAAAGGTATTATATATGGGAGATAAATGTTACTGAGAATTTGCATGCCTCAAAGTCTCTTTATGCTACTTTAAGCTTGATAGATTGAACAAGCATAACATTACCAATCTTATTCCTGATCCTTTGCATGTAATGTGATTTTTCTTCCTGGGAAACTTTTAGGATCTCATTTTTAACTTTGGTGTTCTGGAATTACACAATTTCTTTGGTGCAGGTCTTTTTCTATTCACTGTGCTAGCCATTGACAAGCTGGAAATTCCCATGTTTCTATTCTTGGAAAATTTTTGTTATTATTTCTTTGATAAATGACTCTCCTATGTGTTCCCTAGTTTATTTTTAAGAATACCTATTAACTGGATAGAAAATATGCCAAATTGATCTTTTAAGATTTTTTTTTTCTATAGTGTTCCATTTCTTTGTCACTTTGTTTCTATCATTGGGCAATTTTCTTGGCCTCATTTTTGAACCATTCTACAGAATTTATTTGGGCAATAATATTTTTAATTTCCAAGAGCTTGTTCTTATGCTCTGATTGTTCATTTTCCACAGCATCCTGTTCTTGTTTTATGGATGCACTATTATCTTATCATTTAAAGTCATAATAAAGTAGTTCAGTTACGTTCAATATTTGGGAAAGAAGGAGTAGAAGGTGTGCGACATGCTGACAGTACACAAAGGTGTACAAAAGGGAACTCTGTTTTTTCTGCTCAATTTTGCTGTGAACCTAAAACTGCCTTAATAAATTCTGACTGGCTTTGGTGGCTGACACCAGTAATCCTACTAACTTGGGAGGTCAAGGCAGGAGAATTGCTTGAGGCCAGGAGTTTGAGACCAGCCTGGGCAACATAGCAAAACCCCATTGCTACAAAAAATAGAAAAGACTAGCCGGGCATGGGAGCCCACACCTGTAGGACCAGCTACTTGGAGGCTGGGGTGGGAGGATGCCTGGAGGCAAGGAGCATGATGTTGCAGTGAGCTATGATGACCCACTGAACTCTACCAGGCCTAACACAGTGAGACCATATCTCAAAACAAAACAAAACAAACTTAATCAGTCTTTTTAATTAATGGCTGAGTTCGTGGTGAAGACAGGATCTACTCCAACAGTTAAAAGCAAACAAACAAACCGATGTCTAGTATTATATTTATTAACTTAACACAATCTACAGATACGATTAATTCAACTCAAGATTTATTTACAAACAGGTAAGTTACCACCAAGAGTATAATTGATCTTGAAATCCTGAGACTCTGGCTTCACATCTTCAGAATTATTCTCAAGTGTCCTCCGAGCACGGAGGGAGCGGCTGTGACGCCCCGGGTCACAGGTGCCACCCTTGCAGACTGCAGGGGTCAGAGTACAAGATTTCCACAAAGCAAAAGACGATGGTCTCCTTTGACAGTTTCATCCTCCCCGGGCATCGACCTTAGATTCCTCCCCAAGGTCCCCAAATTATACTTCAAGGCAAGTCCTCAACTTATCATGGGGAGAGAGTAAAAGATTTCCACAAAGCAAAAGGCGCTGGTCTCCTTTAACCGTTTCATCCTCCCCAGGCAACGACCTTGAATTCCACCACAAGGTCTCCAAATTCCATTCCAAGGCAAGTCCTCAACTTATCATCGGGAGAATCTCCTCTTGAAATCCCCAATGCTCTTCGCCATCAGCGGGGCCATTTTCTTGGAACCCGGTTTCCCGGTGGCCGCCCTGGGCGCCAGGCCAGCCCTGCTGACGCCCACGCAGCCCGAGGCCGGCCGGTTCTGGTCTCAGGGCTGGGTGACAGCGCGCTGCTGCGCTGCTGAGAGCCTGGCTGCTTCCCGTGGCAGGGAGCTGCCCGCCTGGCATTCCCGCGCTCAGCTGCTCCTGGCTGTCAAACCTCTCCTGGCCCCAAGAAAACCTGACGCCTCTGGCACAGAGTTAAAACGATCATCTTTGCTTGTGCCTGTGGACTTACCGTCCGGGCAGACCGGATATTCATAGTCACTTGTCGCAGACGCTGCTCTCGGCATCCTGAAGACGCAGGTACATCTCCGCCAGGACTCCGCTCCTGCGGCCTTCTCTTCCTTGAAGCTCGTGACAGTGAATTTTCCATAAGTCGTCCGTTTCTCCAACCAGGCGGAGTTGTACCGCTCTATGCGACACGCTGAGCGGCGTACAACCTCCAAGACCCCGCCCAGGACAGAATACGGACCCCTCCACTTCACGGAGGGATTCTGCCGTTTTCCTAAGGACTTGGACGCCAGGCTCCTGCACGGCCACCATCCCGGGGAGAACGTCGCTCCTGGCGCCAGAATACACCTGCATCTTAGAATTCACTCTGAGTCCCATGAATGCATCTGCATCTTCCCCTGCGCAGGACTGCGCCCCTGGCTCTGGCTGGGAGGACAGCCTTCAGGGGCGCCGAGTGCGCGGTAAAGGTCCTCCAGCCTGGGCGCGGCAGTCTGCGGCTCTGGCCACTCCTCGGTGGGGCGGCCCCAGCGTGGCTGGATGGCTCCAGTCGCCTGCCACTTCTCAGACTGGTCTCCGTCACCTTCGGGATTTCTGAACCGATCGGGTTTTTAGCAGTGCATGTGGAGTCCCTGTTTGCAAGTTCCTTTTGTCCACGTGCAGCCGCTGGAGTTTTCACGGTCTTCTTCCTTTTCTTCGGAATCTGGTCATAGTTGAGGTACTCCTCAAAGGTCAGAGTAGGCTGCTCGAATTCAGCACCCACATCTGCCTCTTCCACTTCACGGAGGGAGCCCACCGACTCTCTAGGCCCAACAGGGATTTGAGTTTACCTTCTGGAGTCCCAGGTTGCTGGAAACTCTCTTCCTTGACCTTGGGCGACGGGGCTCCTGCCCGCTTTCCTGCGTCTAGGCTGTGCAGACGTGGCTTGCGTTTGTCCCCCGCGGGTTTCTCCAGGCTGCGTGCGGACGCTTTCCAAGGGGTGTGTGTGGCTCCTCCCAGGGGCTGAGGCTGGGGCGGTGGGCTCTGGTCCCTTTAGGCCTGCTCCTGTCAAGGGTGGTTTGTCCAGGGCGCCTTCCCTGGGGCGCGGCCTTCGGATTTCCTCTTTGGAGGGGGCCTTGCATGTGTCCTCGTAGACCCAGGAGGGCCTCCTCTCTCTGCCCTTTGCGTCCACCTGGCGTCTTCCCTGCTGGGCCTTCTGTTCCTGGCCCTGGCTCACAGTCCCGTTCCCGCGGGTGCACCCGGGACCCTCGTGCTGATCCCGCTGGCCGGGAGGCCTCAGGGCGGCCTTGTCCAGGCTCCTCTCCGGGCAGGGGAACGCTGGTCTCCCCGTCGGTCCGTATTGGTCCTCGCTCAGCCAAGCACGACTGACAGACGCCCCAAGATCGCGGAACTGACCGAAGCAAGAGATCCCCGACGGAAGAGGAGCCTGGAGCAGGCCCGGGGCGCTGCTTGGTCTCCTCTCTCTGCCCACCACTGGGAGACCTCTGCGAGGTCTCTGATCCGAGACCTTCCTGTGCTTTTCCCGTCGTGGGTCAGGGCTGGCGGCTGCGCCCCGTGAGCCCCCGTCCAGTTCCTCGTCCTGAAGAGCGTTCCTGGGCGCTTTCGGGAACGCGTGTCCTCACCGCGCGTGGCCAGGCCCAGGGCTTCGCTCCTCAACAGCCAGCTTCTTCCAGTGGCGCCAAGTCCCTGGCAAAGGTGCCCACGCGCTCGTGTTTCCTCAAGCTCTCGACCGTCTTCCTGATTCCGCTCTGCGCCACCATGTCTGCGGTCAGCGCCAAGGTGCACAGCTTCCACAGACACTCCTCTAGCTTCTCAGGGTCGGTCTCGGTGGCCAGACGCGCCTGCAGCACCTCCACCAATTGCAGTGTCCATCGGGCCGCCATCGCTGTCCCTGCCCAGCGAGGCTGACCAGGGGTCCACACAGGGCCGCAGCTCGTCTCGGTGCGGCGGTCGCGGCTCTGGGCACGCCGGTCCTCGCTGACCCTCGAGCGGGCCAGCCCCTGATCCTCGCGTGTGGAGCCACAGGCTGCAGCGACTCCGCAGTGGCTCCGCCAACAGGGAAGAAGCTCCAGCCCAGACCCCGCTTATATAGTCCCCGAGGCACCCACCCTTCCCTGGGGCCACGTCCACGCCCTAACGTGGAACCGGGGCTGCGCTGCCCTGCTACTGATTGACTTAGCTGGGCACAATCAATCATTCCAGAGGACCCACGCCAGACTGAACTGCCTGCCACAGTGGGTTGGCTCTCTTAAATTCAGCCTCAGCCCAAAACAAAGAGTTTATGAGGTTGGCCTCCATATCAATGGGCTCCAAATCGGTGAAAGCAATCAACCACGGATTGAAACTATTTGGGAAAAATTAAAACAATACAATACAATTAACATAAATAAATTATGGTAATATCACAGCTATTGTTTAGCATTTATTTACATTGTGTGAGGACTTCAAAAGTATGAGGAAAATGGAATTAAAGATTAAACATATATCTGTTATTTCTCAACATCGGAACCATAGATTCAAGGGGCTTTTGTAATCTATGAACTGCCCTTTAATCCATCCCTGAGAACTGAGTGTCCTGGAAGGGAACTGCCAATGCAGTCCTTTTTACACCATTAAATGAAGAAACTATGGGTGTCCTGTACAGATTTCGTTCAGAGTGCGGGACAAACTGAAGTCAGAAGGCGCCCAATGAGGACTATAAGGTGGATGCCTAAAAGCCTTTCAAAATGGCCCTTGTCTGATGAAAGGCATGACCAGGAGCGTGGCTGCTGTTGAGAAGGACTCTCTGGTAAAGTTTCTCCCTGGTGTTTTCTGCTCAAGCATTGGTAGCTTTCTCAAAACACTCTGATAATGAGCAGATGGTATTGCTCTTTGGCTCTCCAGAAAGTTACAAGCAAAATGCCTGATCGCCCTAAGCTGCTGCGTGACCTTTGCTTTCTCTTGACCTTTCTGCTTGGGCTTGACTAGACATCTTTGACCTCTTTTTAGACACTGCTTTGGTTGTGCCTTGTCTTCAGGAACCTAAAGATAAAGCCAAGTTTCATCCCCTCTCACAACCCTTCGAAGAGGAGCTGCAGGATCTTGATCCCAGTCCATTGCATTTTCAGCTAAGGTGCTGCTCTTGTCGGTAGCTGATATGGGAGCAATGGTCCCATCCAGTGGAAAAGATTCTCCACTTTATTTTTCGGTCAGAATTATGTCAGCTGAACCGTTGGAGATGCCTGTGGTGTTGGCTATATGATTGTGCCGTTAATCGTCAGTCCCCTTCAGTTAGGCACCAAGAAGATATACCAGTTTACATTGGAATGTGATGCTTTCTTGGCGCAAGTCCCACACACTTTGATAACAATCAGTGATTTCCCATTCTTCCCCCTGGACTTCACCATAAAGTTAATTTTTGTTCCTGCTTCCATTTTAGCAGAATTCATGTTGCTCCTATAGGGCTTTTTTTCAAACTGATGTCTTATCCTTTTTAGTGACTGCGGCTATTGTAGCTCCTATGCGGATATGCTATAACAAATTGGTAGAAGTATATTTTGGTGCAGAAGGTATTTTGAAATCCATGCACAGTTTTCTCCTAAGAGGCACATTCCATGAGCTTTTGAGGCTCCCCGCAAATCAGGTTCTACAAGTAATCTAGAGATTTAGAGTCTAGGAGAGGGTGTGTGTAGGTTATATGCAAATACCATGCCATTTTATAACAAGCACTAGAGTATCTGAGGATTTTGGTATGGGTGGGTGGAAGGGCCTGCAACCAATCCTTCTGAGCATTATGAGGATGACTGTATTATCCCCTTTTTATGCATTGGGAAACTCAGGCTCAGGGACATCAATTGACTTACATGCAGTCACACAGTGGAGTGGGAAATTGGAGTTGAATAAGTATCATGGTCCAGTGTGACCACACTTCTGAATAGGTGGAGTAATTGAGGCCTAGATAAAAAACAGATTTGTCTAAAGTGAAACAGCCTCGGCCCATGAATGTGATAGTAGTGCCCGTGTGTCCTTTCACTCCAAAGCTTGTCTAGTAGGTAGACATGAACTAAATTCCTCTCGAATGAATGAATCAATGAATGGTCATTTCCTTTGATGACGTCAACATCAGCAGTAGAGCCTGGGTCAGACCAGCCCAAGAACACCCTCAGTGCTTGAGGACATTTCTTCATCCTAGTATCATTAAATTTATATTATTCTGCTTGAAGTAACAACTAAATAGTATTTACAGATCACCCTCGATTATATCTCATTGGATTAGATTAAATCTTATTGATCCTAAGCCAGTGTTCTGGAATGTTCTGCCGGGCTTCTCATCCTTGGAAGTCCCGTTGTTGCTTTTCCTCTACCTTTATATTCCTTGTTTTAGTCTGTTTCTAACCATTCTCTTGACATGCCCTTTGAGTTATTGTTCAGTGTTTCCGGTTAATTTTCTAGCTGTCTCAAATTTATTGAGGAGTCTAGAGTTTTATCTCAGTGTAGGTTTTAAGGTAGCCAAGGTCTTAGAATTTATTGGATTTAAAACTTCTGATAGTTTATTATTGCTTTCTGTATTGTCATTAGTATATGGCAGTTCCCATATGCATGATTACTTACAGAATCATTAATCAAATTAGCTTAACCAATTTTTTGCAGCAATCATTTAAGAAATGCAGCAACAATATAAAATGAAAAGAAAAAATCCACATCCCACAACCCAAATACACTGGTATTACCAAGAGGAATGTCCATAAATCCTTTCAGATCCTTTCCATGTGTGTAACTGCACATGCAGGACACACACCTGCATGTTTCATCAAACTCAATCACCATGGTTGGCACTTGTTCTCTAACCTACTGGTTCTCTCACCAGGATCAAAGCAGGGATCATTACATTGGGCATCTTTCAAGTCTCTTGAAGCAGCACAACTGCCCCACCCCTCACCTTTTCTATGTTATTCTATGTATATCTTTATTTATTTTTAATGGTACTGCCTTGTTCAGGAAAGCATGCCAATAGTTGCCAACATTCACCTTTCTAGATTTGTCTGGATGTGTCCTCTCACACTTCTCCAGCCGCTCTCTCCCGTGATGGACGGTGGTTCTAAGCTGATGGATTCAAGTCAAGCTTTGAATATCCTGTCTAACTGGTGTGGGAAGTTCACGCTGCATCAACGGGAGACTGGAGATTGTTTACTATGAGGGCGTCTGATTCTTCATGCAGAGTTCTATTGAAACTGAAGCAGTTGTGCAGCATGGACTTTGGGGCAAAATCATATTTCATATTCTCTTTCAGTGTTTAGAAAATGCCATGGTATTAAAGTCCCCTGTTTCTCATAGACTTTATACTTCCTCTGTCCCAACATCTATAACTAGTTCATACTCATGCTGAAAACAAATGCCACTCCCTGAGCACTTGATCCTGTGTTCCAGCTCATAGATACCAGTCTGATTTGGTATGAAATACAACAATATTCCTACATCTGTAGTACTCCTTTTGATGTCTAGTGTGTCATTTGTATAGCGTTTAAAGAAAGTTAGTAAGTTCCTTGGAAATTTTTATGTTGATAGTAGGATCTCTGGCTCTCTTGGAACAAGGTCCCATGCTTTTTTGTTGTTGGAGCAATTACTCTCCTGAGATGGATAAGGGTAGGTACTGCATTTGATGGTGCCCCGTGCTTATCCTATTCTGACACACTGCTACACCTGGGTAAGGAGAGAGTGCTCTATCGTCTGGGAATTCCCAAGCTGGCATAACATTTAAGAAATGACCTTGCAGTAACCTAAGGGTAATTATTATGCATTAGCTTGAATCTACATTGTGGTTCATCCCCGTGGATCTCTTTGCAGGAGAGATCACATAGAAGTATGGATTTTGAGGATTCCTGTTGATCACTTGATCCATGTTTCCCAAGAATCCTCTCCCAGACAGGGCTCAATAAAAAAATATCCAGAATTAAGAGAGTGAGTAGGTCAATCAGTTAGAGTGAACGTCGCCCTTTCTCCAAGCCGTTTTGTTGAAACATGAAGAGTTGTTCTTGTAATACTGCTTTCTCTGGGTGTTACTCCATTATATTGGCTTCTGTTGATTTTTCTAAGACAATAGTCTCATCTTGACATTTTGCTGTGTCTGGTCATTGTTGGCCAGAGAGTATACAAAGAACAGAGGGGAAACTGGACCCTGACAGGATAGGAAGTAATCAGAACAAATAAAACACAATTGAAAACCTAATGGATATGTACTATTCAAGCTTTTAAGTGATTATTTAGATTTGGGGACTGAAAGAACTATAATAAAAACATTTGAGAAAGATTGTCCCTTTTAACTTTGTTTCAGAGATGGAAACTTAATGCAAAATTTGGGTCTTATTACAGAAATTGAAAGGAGCTCATGCATTAATCTCCATTGAACTGTCCAAAGGATTAAAAGCGACCTAATGTTGCCATGCAGTGTATAATACAGTAACCATTTCCTAAAATACTTTGCGGGTATCGAAAAAACCCTGGAATTAAATATAACATGGTTTCTGCTTCCTCAAAGGCTACAGTATCAAATAGGACTCACTATTTTGAATCTGTAATGGAGGCATTTGGGGGGCACAATGGCCCACAGAGGAAATGAAGGAAGAAGAAACAAGCTAATTATTGAAACAGGCAAGTGAGACGGGCCAGATTAGATTGTTCACTTGTGGGCTTCCTTTCCTTTGTAGACAGAAATCTAAATGAGCGTGCAATTCTCTGTCTTTCAGGGAAAAGCATCTCTTCAGTGTAATTGGACCATTGTGGTGGCCCACTCTTAGTGTTTTAATTCTGAGAATAATTTGTATGCTATTTTTTTTTTTTTTTTTTTTTTTTTTTTTTGAGACACGAGTCTCGCTTTTGTTGCCGGCTAGAGTGAGTGCTGTGGCGT